TAAATCAGGATGCCACAAATATACACCTGTGAGTTCATAACGATGCAGATAAATTATCGTAAAGATAGAAGCTGCCTGGCCGGAATTCATACTTTTTCAAATTAAAGATATTTCGGCCAGTAAATCTTTAATTTGAAGATGCAGCTAAAGCTATCGTATTATCATACGTTGCACTGAACAGAAGGAGTACATTCAGTGGGACTTGCCTTCAACCTCCCCGTCAGAAAGAACCTTGGTGCCGTGGATGTCACTCTTGTGAAACGTTCCGCTCTACACTGTACACGTCCAGCCTGGACTATACCGCCTTGTAGGCCGCTCCGATGTCAGGCTCTCCTGGCACCGTCTTTTAGGATCATCAACACGCCCGGAGGTAACTCGCCGCACCTTCTACTCCTCGTAGCTGTGACCAGACTCTTTCTCCACATTGGAGTGCCGTTTTTGGTGCCTGTACCTCTAACATATGGCAGCTGGAGCAGCTGAAGTTCACCCATCTTTCCCCAACTTTACTCTAGAATCTTGGCCTCTCAGGATAGCTTGTCATCCATTCAACAATATTTATATAGATCGGCACTGATATTAAATCGCGTAAAAAATATCTAGTTCTAATTTTTAAGCGTTTTCTCCATTGAGCTTATGTGTGTTTTTAAGAAAAGCTCAAATTTCAACTTCTTTTTGAATCGATTTGCTAGTTTATGGTATTGTTCTCTTAATCTGAAAATTAAAAATGATTCAATTTATATTTAAATTGTTTTTTTTTATGTATACGAAATTAAAAATAATTGAATAATGAAGATAATATAAAATTTGCTTTTTATTTATAAAAATATTGTTTTAAATCTTCATTTCATTATATATTTTGGATGTAAAGGGACAATACATTAGAAACATTTTATTGAAATTACAATTATATTCTCACAATGAGTATCTTTTTTATTTAAAAAACGCTAGCTTTCAAGCGCTAATCGCTCTTCAACGGGCTTACTATAAAATCGACTTTTTGTAAATATTTCTAGTGGGATAAATCGATATTATAGTAAGCCCGTTGAAGAGCGATTAACGCTTGAAAGCTAGCGTTTTTTCAATAAAAAAGATACTCATTGTGAGAATATATTTGTAATTTTAATATTTTTTTCACAATTTTATCATTAATGGAGATTAAAAACATTAATAATACGTAAAATTCAACTGTTAGGAGCTAAGACTTTCCTATTCTACCATCGAGCAGAGTAATCACCAACACCTCTAAGAAATTAACACTTTTTTAATTCTTAACTAACTCATTTACATCATTTCTAAAACCGAATATATACATGCAAAGTAAACCAGTCATTTGGTCGAACATACAAATATATTAATCAATGAAAAAATAACTTATAAAAAAAGCTAACATCAACGTTTAAATATAAGCTAGAGTCGATTTCAAGATGTAGTACACTGGAGCGCCAAATTAGCCGCTCTACTAGACTTGATGTGTCGTCCAATAGAAATTAACGCCGTTGCTAAATAAGTGGCGGGGACTTCCGCATGAAGGGAGCGACAAGATCCGGGACACTGCGGCGGCAGATGTAATGGATGCTAAATTTGAATATGTGCCAGAGATCGATGAGGTCGCTCGCTCGAGAAGATCCCTCTTCAGTCACGTTACAATTATTCATCTTTCAAAGCAAGTGCCTTTACATGCCGTAGTATAATACATTACGTAATGTCTCGCTGTGATAGATCCCGGTAAATTTGCCTCTTCTAAATTTATTAGAATATTTCGGGACAATCGGCCTCTATATCTAACTCGCATTCGTATGATAAAATAAACTTCCTTTCTACCCAGTAGTTCTATAAACATTCATAAGGAACCTTTTCGTTCTAAGTTTGGAAGATTTCTTTATATTTCGAAGTTATTTTCTTCCTAAATGATAGAAGCGTTTAATCGAAAATTTCCGACATCGGTAAATTCGTCATAAACAGTATAATGAATAGAAGCAAAACCTGTCATAGGTAAAATTCTGGGAGCAAGTTAAATGCCGAATATCAAACTTCCTTTTGATTGCTACATGTAATTTCTGTCAAATAGCCAAAGCCTTCATAGCAAAGGAATATTCGCATTATTGACAAGAAACCTCATTAAAACTCTTGATTTAATCATTAAGCGTGATTATTATAATAACAATAATTTAGAAATATCGTGGAATTGCACTGATTTTGTAGAAAAGAAGGAAGACACGGAACAAAACGTTCAATATTTTTATTTTAGTTGGTGGCAGGTACGAGTTCAGTGTGACACTCGATGACATCTAGGTTTATATCAACGGCTTTAATCAGCAAATTGTATTCAAATTCTGAATTTAATATTTGTATAGATCTATCTTACAAGAGGGAAATCCACCTTTGCCGACCCCAAGCCCGGATGAGAAAGGAGGAGAGGAATCAGTAACAAGCTCTTTAAAAAACTGGGCTCAGCTGGCCCGGCTGATAGTACTCTGTAAAGGCTCCTGATACAAGGAAACAGAATGAGTCTGTAGTCCGTGTTAGAAGTGGCTGCACATGGCGTCTGTTCCTCATGTCAGAGGGCGGCCATTTCTTTTGAGCTAAGTCGGCCCACCACTGAGTGGTGCTCCCAGTCTTAACGACAAAGGCAGACATATTCTACTTCACCCATACTATCAACTCTACTAACTTGATACCCTAATATGATTGAGTGGAGAAAAGAAAGAAGAAGAAGGGTGGAGTATCCCTCGCGGAAGAAAACTGTCATAATGTATAATCACCTTATTGATGATATTAGTGTCCATTTGTCCTTTACTTACGTAATTCGCAATTGACTATTTGTCAATAAAATATTTTAAATAGTCCACATATGCTATTGCAAGATATAACTTGTTATGTATTCCAGCCAGGACAAAAATTGAGCTAGCCATATTGAATCATATCAAATTAGAACGGAGCGATAAAACAAGAGATATATTGCAGAATTGATGATGATATAGATTCTGTGTGACAGAGTAGTCAAAAATAATTAAATATTCTGTGAATATCGCAGTATATATTGCTGCATTGATGATGATATATACTCTGTGTGACAGAGTAGTAAAAAACAATTAAATATTCTTTGAATATCGCCGTATATATTGCTCTATTGATGATGATATAGACTCTGCGTGACAGAGTAGTCAAAAATAATTAAATATTCTGTGAATATCGCCATATATAAAACACACTATATATGAATTAATAGTATTCTAAGTCGTATCTAGTCAGGCAAGTAGTGAGGACTTCACAATTCCTGACATTTTGCTAATGGAATTTTCCGCCTGATCAGCAGGGAATTAAAATTTAAATTTCTTTTACGCCTGGCGCGTTTTTGCCGTCCGGTTGGTAGGTCCGGAGTTTTCCTGAGTGTCGGGGTCTCACTATACCTCCCTCCAGGCGATATTTTGTTCGAAACTCTTTCTGAAGAACATTTGTGGAAATTGTTTAGAAATATCTGCCCAATACATTTCGATGTTTCGATCAGATTTCTATAGGTTTCTATAGAAAATCGTCTTTATCTTATTACGACGTATTATGTTTTGATTGCATAGGTAAACATAATTTCTTTTTCCCCTGCTCATTAATTATCACCAAATTACACAACTAGTATTTTGTGATTTATTTATTTCAATATAAAGAGCTTTGTTTTCCTAAAGATACTTGCACTGTCATACATGTATGCTCTACATTTGTCTATACATATTTATAATAATTTTAGGCCGTAAAGAATAGTCATGATATTGTAACATAGTATTTATTTATTTTATTTATGTAACAAAGTATTTATTATTTTATTATTTTTATTAACAGAGTGGTCATTTTCATGCTTATATTTTGCTACTCTGTAAATTCCCCTCGTGGCTTATCTTTTGTTTACCTTTGATTAGTTTGTCCTTGCCTGAAATAAATGTTGTTTCCTCCTGAAGTTTTTGTCTTCCCTAATTTTCCACGTAGCAATATTAAAAAGGAGAAAGAGAGAGAAAATACATTTATATCAGATATTTACATTACAAAATGGTTCATTTATCATTATTCTTAAAAGAGAAGAGAAAAAAAGAGTTTAAACAATCTAAAGACAAATGAAGCTTACAAGCTTGTACGATTGTCCTCTTATATAGAGAAGCTATTCCTTCCGACTTATGTTCTTCATCTATGGTGAATAGGGAGTTGGCTTAAAACTGCCTTAATGATTCAAAATTTCTTTGGAAAACCGGTTTTTATTGCAAACAATTCTCAACATTATTCACCAAGTAAGAACTTAATAAAATTAACCTGGATAATATTTTGTGAAAACAGCTACGAAAAGAAACTGCACTAAAACATGTTGAGGTTTACTTCACTCATAGCAAGAAGAGGTTTCAGCCAGGGGATTCAAATTGTTAGAATGTTGTTTATTTATTCATATTCTCACGTCAGTGCAATTATGTGAGAGCTGGAATTCTCTAACTTTCTCCAATCTGGAGATGGAAAAATAAAATATGTTCCCGAGCCGAATATTCACTCTTAATCTCTTTTTCTTGTTTTCTCTGGAAAGTTCCTTAAATCCTTGTCTGACGTGAAATTACCTGAGATTTCTTCTCTACACTGTCTCTGTACCAATGGGAGCTTTCAGTCCATGCAGGCTTCCCTAATTGACCATCTTCGCTGGTAAAAACATGTTTTTATATATTACACATGTATCTATGGTAATAAAATAAATATTAATTAAAATTATACTAAAATAGTGATTTTAATTTCACAAGTCACTGCGTTTCATTAAGAAGCGATCCTAATGGGTTTTTAGACGTTTGAATTTAATTTATTTGTCAAGAATTTGTCAAAAATTTAATCAGATTGTAAAAATAACACGTAGCGGAATAAAACTCCGTAAGGGAAGGTTGTAGTTTAGTGGTGTGGGTAGAATTGAAACAATCTCTGGTTTCCACACTTCTTTTGACTTTCTACCTCGGATTTATAAAGCGCTTACAGATCATATGTCCAAGGTAGTCTAGTGGACATGACATCTGCCCGGTAAGCGGGACATTGCGACAATTGACAATTATAAATGGTTTATTAACATCTAGTAAACAGTCAAGAGAGAGTTTACAGAGTTTAAAATAGTAGAGAAAATATATACACCAGACGAAGCCTCCTCCGAAGGTACGTCTGGATCCTATCAGGAGCTTAGAACCGTCTTGAGTTCAGACTTGAGAGTTATGGAATCCGTGTTCCCAGCGATGACTGTGTTGAGGAACTTGACAAGAATAATCTTGTGTTTAGGTAAGGTATCCGCGAGGAAACTAAGATGGGGGTACAGGACCGCATGCGGAACACTGTGGGTTCGATTCCCTTCCTTGGACACTTCTATTTTTCCGTTACAGATCATATGTTATGTTCAAGATGCTATCCAATATGCTAAATCTGAATACATAAACTCTCCAGTGATGTAGGTTATTTGTACCAATCGAGGTTTGCGACTGCATGGACCCAGCTTGTTCTTGGTCTATATGAATTCCTGGTTTTATTCATTACCTAATGAAGTACCTCCTGTTATATGGAATGTATATATTTTTTGCTTATGCCTAGTACACGTGGTACAGGCCATGATAATCATGGTGGGTAGAAGTAGGCGACTGCTTTTACTGTAAGTATACCATATGTCTACACATCTGAGAAGCAGTTCGACTTACTACTTACAAATATGCCATAGCTCCGTTTGGTTATTTGCACTCGCTGGCGGGGTTATACCTTTGCAAGAATCGGGGGCCATTGGAGCTCTTTTTATTTCTTGAATCAGAAAAAAAGTGGCCAATGCGAACCCGCGTCGTAGCGGTCGGACACCAACGGGGGGCCGCTTCCACCGACCCCCTTCGAATGTTTTATGAATCCTGACAGTTCTCTGACAATTGTCAAATGTCAATCACCATTTTCTTGGTTATGATCCTCTTGCTATTTCCAATGTCTCCTCATTAATCTTCTTCGTGACATTCTTTAAAATTGCGTCTCTTACCCTGTCTGAACGACGCGAATGATTTTTCTCGACAGGAGTTCTTTTCTTTAACACTGTCAGCCTTACCAAACTGCTTCTTGACACGAGAAATTGTGATTTTTGGCGGCTAAAGAAAGTCATCTATCTATATTTGGCTCCTACCAGCCCGCAGTGGTACGATGATGACTGTTTTATTTCCGTATTCTCAATTATTTTTTATCGATACACTTCACACACTTGTACTGTTGCATTTTACATTGAAATGGAGCTGCTGATAGAACGTAAGAAAGCATTGATGTTTTATTTGTTCTCTATTTGATGCCAAGATTAGTTTTACATTATCTGTTACACAATGATTCTGATGATGTTGTATATTAGAAAAATAAAAGAGAGAGACTGAAGAGGAGTTTCTTGTGCGAATTTTTTAATAGCAAGCTTTGGGACGTCCTTCTACAGGCTTTTATACGATAACTAAACACAAGAACGAGATGAGTTTATATAAGACAAGTCTTGTCTATATCTTCTCTTATATGATCTCATCTCGTTCTTGTGTTTAGTTATCGTAAAAGCCTGTAGAAGGACGTCCGAAAGCTTGCTAATATAATTCACACAAGATACTGATCTTCAACACCGTTTTATTTTTCTATTTTAACTCGAAGAGTTTATTTTGGTCGATCTTGTATATTCTTTTGCACAAGTTTATTTGTATGTAAAATAGGGCATTTATATATTTAAGCGTTAGATATCAAAACACAACGGTCTCATATGTGATATTAATATGACACTTTTCACAAATATATATAATATTAAACTCTATGTGTAATAGGTATGGTATAGCATATATTTTAGTATGAACTTTAGAATATCTGGATTTTAAAATGTCTACATCTTTTAACACCCTATACGTAATGTGAAATTTCAATGTTCATCTTCAAGAATCATGGGAATTTTATTGTAAAAAATGCCTTCTCTGTAGAACACATTTCTAGATTCTAGCTGTTTACATATTTTTGATCATTGTGAACTATCAGCATATTTGATGAGCTAAACTCCCACCTTCCGCAACATGTTCTCGGCAGAGCGTTCTACTTTACCAAAAATGAAGATAGCGTAACCAGTAAAATTTATCGGAAATGTTGCCCTCGAGTCTATAAAGCGGGATGTTAAAAAACAAACTGTGTGCGAGGGATGGCGACATTGAAGGGCCATCAACAACAGTCTGGTAATTACGCGGGCTGACAGCTGGGGCTAATCCCCGCAGATGTCGCTAATCCTCTAATTAGCATGGACGGCTTATCTTCGCCGCACGACCTCTCGGGGACATCTGTCCTCCTCACATCTCTGTCACATCTGTCCTCCTCACATCTCTGTCATACTTGTCCTCCTTACATCTCTGTCACACTTGTCCTCCTTACATATCTGTCACTCTTATCCTCCTCACATCTCTGTCACACTTGTCCTCCTCACATCTCTGTCACACTTGTCCTCCTCACATATCTGTCACATCTGTCCTCCTCACATCTCTGTCACACTTGTCCTCCTCACATCTCTGTCACATCTGTCCTCCTCACATATCTGTCACTCTTATCCTCCTCACATCTCTGTCACACTTGTCCTCCTCACATCTCTGTCACACTTGTCCTCCTCACATCTCTGTCACATCTGTCCTCCTCACATCTGTCACACTTGTCCTCCTCACATCTCTGTCACACTTGTCCTCCTCGCATCTCTGTCACACTTGTCCTCCTTACATCTCTGTCACACTTGTCCTACTCACATCTCTGTCACATCTGTCCTCCTCACATCTCTGTCACATCTGTCCTCCTCACATCTCTGTCACACTTGTCCTCCTCGCATCTCTGTCACACTTGTCCTCCTTACATCTCTGTTACATCTGTCCTACTTACATCTCTGTCATACTTGTCCTCCTCACATCTCTGTCACATCTGTCCTCCTCACATCTCTGTCAGACTTGTCCTCCTTACATCTCTGTTACATCTGTCCTGCTTACATCTCTGTCACATCTGTCCTCCTCACATCTCTGTCACACTTGTCTTCCTCACAACTCTGTTACATCTGTCCTCCTCACATCTCTGTCACACTTGTCCTCCTCACATCTCTGTTACATCTGTTCTGCTTACATCTCTGTCACACTTGTCCTCCTCACATCTCTGTCACACTTGCCCTCCTTACATCTCTGTCACACTTGTCCTCCTTACATCTCTGTCACACTTGTCCTACTCACATCTCTGTCATACTTGTCCTCCTCACATCTCTGTCACACTTGTCCTCCTTACATCTTTGTCACATCTGTTCTGCTTACATCTCTGTCACACTTGTCCTCCTTACATCTCTGTCACACTTGTCCTCCTCACATCTCTGTCACACTTGTCCTCCTTACATCTCTGTTACATCTCTCCTTCTTACATCTCTGTCACACTTGTCCTCCTTACATCTCTGTCACACTTGTCCTCCTTACATCTCTGTCACACTTGTCCTCCTCACATCTCTGTTACATCTGTTCTGCTTACATCTCTGTCACACTTGTCCTCCTCACATCTCTGTCACACTTGTCCTCCTTACATCTCTGTCACACTTGTCCTCCTTACATCTCTGTTACATCTGTCCTCCTCACATCTCTGTCACACTTGTCCTCCTCACATCTCTGTTACATATGTTCTGCTTACATCTCTGTCACACTTGTCCTCCTCACATCTCTGTCACACTTGTCCTCCTCACATCTCTGTCACATCTGTCCTCCTCACATCTCTGTCATACTTGTCCTCCTTACATCTCTGTCACATCTGTCCTCCTCACATATCTGTCACTCTTATCCTCCTCACATCTCTGTCACACTTGTCCTCCTCACATCTCTGTCACACTTGTCCTCCTCACATATCTGTCACATCTGTCCTCCTCACATCTCTGTCACACTTGTCCTCCTCACATCTCTGTCACATCTGTCCTCCTCACATATCTGTCACTCTTATCCTCCTCACATCTCTGTCACACTTGTCCTCCTCACATCTCTGTCACACTTGTCCTCCTCACATCTCTGTCACATCTGTCCTCCTCACATCTCTGTCACACTTGTCCTCCTCACATCTCTGTCACATCTGTCCTCCTCACATATCTGTCACTCTTATCCTCCTCACATCTCTGTCACACTTGTCCTCCTCACATCTCTGTCACATCTGTCCTCCTCACATATCTGTCACTCTTATCCTCCTCACATCTCTGTCACACTTGTCCTCCTCACATCTCTGTCACACTTGTCCTCCTCACATCTCTGTCACATCTGTCCTCCTCACATCTCTGTCACACTTGTCCTCCTCACATCTCTGTCACATCTGTCCTCCTCACATCTCTGTCACATCTGTCCTCCTCACATCTCTGTCACATCTGTCCTCCTCACATCTCTGTCACATCTGTCCTCCTCACATCTCTGTCACATCTGTCCTCCTCACATCTCTGTCACACTTGTCCTCCTCACATCTCTGTCACACTTGTCCTCCTCACATCTCTGTCACATCTGTCCTCCTCACATCTCTGTCACACTTGTCCTCCTCACATCTCTGTCACATCTGTCCTCCTCACATCTCTGTCACATCTGTCCTCCTCACATCTCTGTCACATCTGTCCTCCTCACATCTCTGTCACATCTGTCCTCCTCACATCTCTGTCACATCTGTCCTCCTCACATCTCTGTCACACTTGTCCTCCTCACATCTCTGTCACACTTGTCCTCCTCACATCTCTGTCACATCTGTCCTCCTCACATCTCTGTCACACTTGTCCTCCTCACATCTCTGTCACATCTGTCCTCCTCACATCTCTGTCACATCTGTCCTCCTCACATCTCTGTCACATCTGTCCTCCTCACATCTCTGTCACATCTGTCCTCCTCACATCTCTGTCACATCTGTCCTCCTCACATCTCTGTCACACTTGTCCTCCTCACATCTCTGTCACACTTGTCCTCCTCACATCTCTGTCACATCTGTCCTCCTCACATCTCTGTCACACTTGTCCTCCTCACATCTCTGTCACATCTGTCCTCCTCACATCTCTGTCACATCTGTCCTCCTCACATCTCTGTCACATCTGTCCTCCTCACATCTCTGTCACATCTGTCCTCCTCACATCTCTGTCACATCTGTCCTCCTCACATCTCTGTCACACTTGTCCTCCTCACATCTCTGTCACATCTGTCCTCCTCACATCTCTGTCACACTTGTCCTCCTCACATCTCTGTCACATCTGTCCTCCTCACATATCTGTCACTCTTATCCTCCTCACATCTCTGTCACACTTGTCCTCCTCACATCTCTGTCACATCTGTCCTCCTCACATATCTGTCACTCTTATCCT